CAATCTAAAATCTTTAAACAGAAACGTTGAAAGAAAGCAGGAAAAATCGCATCTTGATCTCACCTCCTCGCCCAAAATTTCCCTTTTTTTATTTACTTGAAGAGAACTTGTAGTTGTCTGCAAAAACCCTTGATTTTGAGGATAGATGGAAAGGGCGCGTCTTTCTGCTCTGTACTTGGGCCATGGCAGCCTTAACATGACCCTGTTAGTTCCCGACCCGGCCCGACATTTTTTATTTTTTATTTATTTTTAATTAAACTAATTAATTTATTAAAACCCCCAAAACCCTGAGCTTCTATCATCTTTGAGGTTGAGGAGGCACCGCCATTTTCAGTTCCGCAGATATGAGAGCATGAGTCAAATGCAAGGCTCCTTCTTATTCAACTCTGCTTCAGCTCTGCGTCTTCACCCGTTCATGGCCAAGGTTTTCTTTCTTTCTTTCCTTTACCTTTTTTCTTTACGATGATAAAACTCTGGTTGGATTCCTGTGTTTAGCTAAAAAAAGGGACATGTTTTTATCAAATTTGACATTAAAGGAAGCAACTTGGATTAGTAATTGCAAATTGTGAACTACAAGGCAACTGGGTTTTTTTCAGTTTTTAGTGAATTGAATATACTTCAATATCATCTGTCCACTAATAATGAAACTGGGATTTTGATTTTTTTTTTTCTTGCCTTGTATTGGTGCCATAGTTGCATTACAGGGCATCTCAGTATTACTCGGGACCATCTGTGCTGCCTGGTATTGTTGATACATACAGACAATGCTCTCAGGTTAAGTTTAGAGAAGTCAGGTCAGCTTCCCTTGTTCTGGCTGGTTACCCAAAAGTTGGACAAAACTTCCAGCTTTTTAGAACTTTGGATAATGGGTGTACTAGGAATGCAACTGCTACTAAGTCCAATTTAACTGCTGGGTTGTTAAGTTGTAAAGTACCTGGAAGTGTTTTTAGTTGTGGATTGTCCAGTGGATTTGGATTGAGTTATTCTTATGTGTCTTTCTCTAAGCGGTACTTTTCTGAAGTCTCAGCATTAGAAACCAAGGCTGCTAAAACAGGTGTTAGGGGTGGAAGTAGGAGGCCATGGTTTTGGAAGAAGAAGAATAAGGCAAAGGGAGTGGTGGCTAACAGTAGTAACAGAGATACTGATTCTAGTTCTACATTGGCCTCTAAAGATGTTACAACTGCAACATCTAGCAAGCAGACAGTCAAAGGACAGAAGAAGGGTGCAGAAAACGGATCAACTGACTCAACTTCACTGGCTAGCAAGGATAGCCAAGACTCTAAAGTTAATGAAAAACAGAAAAAACAGCCAAGAACTAAGAAAAAGAAGGAAAAAGTTTCCAGCGTCATCACTTCAAAAGAAGCAGAAGCGGTTGGAGGTTCTAAAAGTATTTCTCCAAAGAAAAAATCTAATGTAGAAGAAACTGCTGAAAATCTAAATGAAAATATGCCTGTGGAAGTGCTAGATAGTTCTGCTTCAATGGTGCCTCGGTCCAGTAAGAAAAATGGGCAATCAAATAGGAAGAGAAAACCAATGAAAACAGCCATTGAGTCACCTCTGGAACACAAACCAGTAGATATGGGCAAAATTAAATCTATGGGACAAAAGCCTTTCAAGCCTCTATATCCCCCCACTTGTAAGTCTGTTATCGTGGTTGAGTCTGTTACAAAGGCCAAGGTTATTCAGGGTTACCTTGGCGATATGTTTGAGGTCTTGCCTAGCCATGGTCATGTCAGGGACTTGGCTGCAAGGTCAGGATCTGTGCGGCCTGATGATGACTTCAGCATGGTTTGGGAGGTCCCAAGCTCTGCGTGGACGCATCTTAAGAGCATTAAGGCTGCTCTAAATGGGTATATTTTCTCAAGCCTTTTCTATCGCTTCCAAAAAGATTTGTTGAGATTAATTTTTGGTTGGAGCTTTCTGCTTTCTTATACTTTTTCTTTTTGATCATTCTCTCAGCAAAGAAAATATTGATGGTAATCCTCTGAGTATCATAAATGCCCATTGCAATTGGTTGCTTTTTTTTTTTTTTGTTAATACATTTCCATACTTCTCATTTTATTTCTTTTTATGTATATCATCAGAACCAAAAATTTGATTCTTGCATCAGACCCTGATCGTGAAGGAGAGGCAATTGCTTGGCACATCTTTGAGATGCTGCAGCAACAGGATGCTTTGCATGAGGAGACTACTGTAGCAAGGGTTGTCTTTCATGAAATAACAGAGGCATCCATTAAAAGTGCTCTGAATGCACCACGGGAGATTGATCCAGACTTGGTTCAAGCTTACCTTGCTAGACGTGCTCTTGATTATCTGATTGGATTTAACATCTCACCATTGTTATGGAGGAAACTGCCAGGTTGCCAGTCAGCTGGACGAGTGCAATCTGCTGCCTTGTCCCTTATATGTGACAGAGAGTTGGAGATTGATGAATTTAAGCCACAGGAGTACTGGACTATAGAGGCTGTGTTAAAAGCAAGACAACTTGTGTTAAAGACAAGAAAACCTTATTCTCTAGTAGACAGTTTTTCTTTCCCTGCGCACTTGACACATTTTAATTCAAAGAAGTTGAGTCAATTCTCAATCAGCTCAGATTCAGAGGCTAAGGATATTGAAATGAAGATTAATTCCACAAATTTTCAAGTTGTTGCCTCTAAAAGAAACACTGTGCGAAGAAACCCTCCCACACCGTATAT